TCAGAGTAAAAAAAACAACATGATATGCTAAACTTGGTGTATTAAAAGTGAAAGTCAGTCAGTTCTGTTTGCATTCTGTACTTAAGGAATACCCTTGGATTGTGAATGGAATAATAAACACCAACTTTATTTATCCCTGTGATTTAGAAATGGAACAATCAAAAAGTGATTATCTAAAGGATCTTACCCCTCTCAACAGAGGCTTGTACTCTAATACAATATCTCATAATAGGAGTCTATGGATAAAATGCTCCTTCAGATCAAAGAATCTAAAAGGTTAAATTAACATAATGAACAAAAAAATGTGACAGTTTAGTCATATTATTTCTGAAATTCAAAGATTTGTCAAATCTTTGGTGATTAATTTCAAACACATAGATAAAAAGCCCTAATATTTCTTTTAATGAATGTTTTAATCTAAATATCCAATAATGCCATAATTTATTTCACCAATACAATGCACAGGTTCTAGAGGCAGAGGAGGACCCCCACGAGGCAGGGGGAGAGCTGGTTTCTCCGGGGACAGAGGGGGTAGACGATCCCCGTCTAGCAGAGATGGCCCACTTGGGAAACGACAACGCATGGAAGGCGGAGACAGCTATAGCAGGCGATAAACATGGGGGAAAGAGTTTTTCAATTTGAATATATAAATCAATGAAACTTGACCAAGCACCTAGAGGAAAAAACTAAATGTTGTACACAAAACCTTTTTGAAATCAGTTTGTGACTCAGTGGATGGAATAAGCAACTCTGTTCTGTGCAATCTAGCAAGAATGGATGTCTCTGAATGAAAATATAGTGTGGACAGGAAAGAAGATACATTGCGTCAAAGTATACTGAACCTGACTCTTAGTGTTGCTGCTAGTATGGCATCTCAAACTATTGCAAACATGGATTTAAACTTTTGCAAATTATATGATGGCCATTTAGCTGGATTCTAAAGAAGTCAGAGGAAGCATTTCCTTTATTTTACCTTACATTTGTTCATTTCAATGTTTCTATTAGAGAGTAGTACTGTAAACCTTTCATTTTGATGTTCATGTGCTCATTAACAATTTTAAAGTAATAAATTTTTTAAGAAGAATTTTTCATTGTGTATCTTTATATGTTTATGCCAGTAAAGCAATCAAATGAGGAGTATGATCTGTCAAATTATTTATTGCAACTTGTAAGAAGGAACAAAACGTGCATGCCAACCTCTGCCATCAAAAAACTGCTGTGTTTGCCAGGAAACCAAAAAAAAATTAACTTAAAATAGAAATTGCAACAAAAATGGAGAGAACAAAGTTTTTTCATTTAAAATTAAAACATTTAAAAAGAATGTAAAATATAAATTCTTACTTGAGCTATATGTTCAAATTCCTAAAGAATTTTGAACATAGAATATTTTAGGGATTTGTCATACACATACAAGCATCTGGACTCTGGAAAATGATGCTCTAAGAGTAATATCAAAGTGTATAACAGTTAGTATCTGTGTGATAATTATTTTCATTATGCACAAATTATCACTATTTTTTTTATTTAAATCTATTCACACAAAGTCTTTTAAATTGATAACCAAGATTGGATCGGTAAGGATGGGGTCTAATAATCTAATGTGTTTGTCGCTATTACATTGAGTAAAGCTATATACATGTATCCTTCAAACTGTATTCATATACATATCTAATGCAAGCCAACAGACTACAGAGCAGTGATTTATACATCCAAAGAAGTTGATTATTTATTTTAAATAAAAGCATATCAGAGGTTTGTTGTCAGGAGCGTGATCTGCAGACACCATAAAATGAAATCATCTCTTCTGAGGTAGGTTTTAAATCTGTTTTGTAGCTTTGAGTCTTGATTTTATATGCAAGACTTCACAAAAGATGAGCATTGATTTTGTGAATATATTTAAGTTCATGCTAAAAGCTGGACCATATGGATCTGACCTGTGCAAATGAAGGAATCATCATGACTTGATAATTCAAAGCTAAGGAATAGCACATTGATGATTTAGAGCTTTCTGATGATTATGGGTCAGCACCCACCCAAAAGGTCTATATTTTGAGTGATAATAATGCACAAAGTAGTGACAGATGGACAGCATTGATCTCATGAATATATTGAAGATTCATGCTAAAAGCTGAACTTACGGATCTGTGCAAAGAATCATCTACATCATGACTTGATTGTTCAATGCCATGGAATATATTTTATCACTTATTGATGGGTTAGAATTATCTGGTGAATATATTACATATAACAGCGTCTGCAAAGGTCTATATTTGAGTACAGAATAGTGCAAGTAATAATAATTAATAGAGAACTTTTGAATGATGAGATAAACCTTGATTTGTAGCTCAAAACATTTTTGGATGATAACTGACAGCACTAATTATAAAATGTTTTCATTGAATTTAGGATATGGAGAACATTTTTGACTGACATTGCCTAGGAGTCAGTGATAGAAACCAGTGACATGTATACATCTGGATATTGTCGTGTTATTATAAAATGTATTTGGTTGTTGCTTGTAGAATTGAACTAAGCAGATACTGTAAGCTATATTATTTATTTTGTTGGAACTTTGAGCCAGGAAAAAAATAGAAACTACAAAATCTTTTTGAGGTAACAAGAAAATATGGTTGGCTGTCAATTCCAAAGAGGAGAATTTGTAGATGAAACTTGATTTCTCATTTGGAAATAAAAGGCTATAAAAGGATGGCTTTTCTTGTACTTGGATGTAACTCAAGGTGTAGACACTGGAGCACAGAAACTTTCAATCTATTAAATGAGGACTGAGAAATTGGGAATTATTTTAAATGGACTTTAAACCAAGTACTGTTGTTTTGTTGTTGGACACTTAATCTATGCAAGGATTACAATTAAAATTAGATTAGATCAAATCAACTGTTACGAAATACATTTCCTCAAAATATTACATAATATGGTAGCTATTGGAAATTTTAGAAACCTATTGTTTACACATTCTAGCGTAAAATCAAATTTTCTTTTGGTTATTTAATATGTCGAGAGAAAGAAATTGATATTTGTATTGTACATTTCATTTGGCAGAGGGAGAACAAGACAATTTAATTCAAGAAAGTGATGAAGCTGTTGTCAATGAGAAGATTCTTTTACTGCTAGCAGGTTAGTTAAGTGGATGTTTTATCTTGTTTATTGCACTGAGTAAGTCTTGTAGTGAAGCACCAAAACGTCTACATTTTATTCTTCTTTTAAGCCATGGTGGGTCTGTGATATTTGTTTTTTTTTCTTCTATTATCTCTGAGCTCTTTGAAGTGCATGTTATTACTAGTTTTTCATTTTTCTTATTGTTTGATTTTGTTTGTATTGAAAGCAACTATTTGTCAACATATAGCCTAGTTTTCCCAGTTTATTTCTTAAGTCAATCAGATACTTTAATGTTAATATGATGAATTGTCTGGAAACTGGAGATTTTATCTCATATTACTAGGGTTACCAGACACCTCTTTGACTTTTGATGCCCCCACCCCTAAAGGTAAAAAGTCTTTATTTTTGGTACCCTTTGCCAGCTAGGGGTTCTAGGAGAGACTGTAAAGTGTGAGTGGGGATGGAGTTTCTTTTATTAGAAACATTAAAGGTTTTCTATGAACAGCCTAAAATTTATGTACATCGCTGTTCATGAAGGAAGTTTGTTTTAAAAGAAAAAAAAAAAAAAGGATCTTTCTGTCCTGCAAATGATTTCAAGTTGCAGCACTGGTCAAACAATAGAACCTCTGTTAACATCAATGCTCTATTCCTTAAAGTATTGTATACATAACATTACTTCATTCATTCATGAGTTAGTTATTAAGATATGAAGGATTCAATTGAAATACCTTAAAAATAAACATCATTGTGAAATCCAGACATTTTCACACTTTAGACTAATACTGCCAGATGAAGGACAGATCAAACAGATGTCCTCCTTCTGCAAGACATCTGGTAACTCAACATATTACTGGTATATCCTGATTAATGATACCTCCAACAGATTTTTTAGATTTTATACAATGCTTGAGGGTCTTTGGTCTGTAATAAGTTTCATCTAAGCATGTTACAAGTAGCATTTTACAAGCAGTCTATACCACCACTATAGTGCATTTCAGAAATGTTTAGTGCACAGTACTATTCCAGACTTTTAAAATAACATGTGTACTGGTTGCTCCTAATTTCACTTTTTTTTTTACAGTCTCTGTTCAGATTTTTGAACACTAAACACTTGTAATTCAACTTCTCATAGATTTGTATCTATTTGTAAAATATAACTTATTCTTCAGATATATTGTGTTCTTATCCTAGCAATATCAATAAACCTTAAGTTTTTGTTTTTTTTTTGGTTATAGCTTTTTTAAAATTAAAAAAAAAAAATAAAACCCTGAACGAAAGCTCTCTTGTAAACTATTGAGAACAAAAACATGTCCACCCTAGAGAGAGTATTTCCTTGTTCAAAAACAAAACATTGATCTCCTTTAGTTAGTTCAATTTATGAGACCTTCACCTTCAACTGGTAGGTTCTGACAGTTTGAAGGAAATGTGAAGAAAAAAAGAAAAAAAAAAGGGGGGGGGGGGGTAAAGTACAACATATATTATCTAAATTATGCTGTCAGTTCTGAATTCTCATCTGTGTCAGTGGGTAAATATTTTGTTTCTATGTTGACAGAAGAAGCACTAAAACTTAAGGCGGTGTATCTCATGATCAATCACAAGAAGTCTACAATATTCACTGATGTGAGAGAGGGCACGACCGTGAACCAAGTGAAAAAAATCTTAGAAGGCATTTTAAAAGTTGACCCTCAGCACATGAAGTTGTATCTCAATGATGCCTTGATGGCTGGAGGAGAGCTGGCAGTCTCACTGTACGGCTTGACACCATCTACAGCCAACTGTCTCTCACCTGCAGTGATTCATCTGGTTCTTAATTCTGAAGAATAAATGAAAGCTAGTACTAATGTCAAACAATAATTAAGTTATAGTTTTATGTAGATAGATATTTGTGAAATGTACTTTTTTTTTTTTAGATTTTAGTTTTCTAGACATTTCATTTAGAAATGTTTAGATCTTATGACTGAACAATGCAACTGTAATATTATTTTGCTGCTCAATCTTCACCCTCATTATTTTAATGAAAATTTGTTTCTCCATGTGATTATATTATGTCCACATTCCAGACAATCGCCTTCTGTATGGAGAGCTGTGTGTGCAGGAAATCGCTATAAAGATACCCTTAAAAACTTCTTCATGGAGTGTGATATTGAAATATGACCAAACCTACCCATGCCACATATATGACCTGCATTTCAAAGTGAGGATTGGACTTTACAGTCATCTTCATGCTCATCTTTGACCACGAAGGAGGAGCTATATATATATATATATTATGGTAGCAAAATATTACATAAGCAAATATGTATGTGTACCTTGCTCAATATTAATGTCTTTGTATTATTATGATATTACCTAACTCTTTTGTACTATTTCTTTGCACAATTTTACAATTTAAATTTTTGTAAATATTTTGTTACAATTATTATTAAAAACTAAACCTACTATTGATGTATTAGGATAGAACCATGTTTATTACATTGGGACATGGTGGCTGAGGGGTAAGGTACTTGGTTTCCGAACAGAAGTGCCTCAGATTGAATCTGAGTGAAAACATGGGATTTTGAATTTATGGATTTTCAGGACATTTGAGTCCACTCAACTCTAATGATTACCTGACATTAGTTGGTAAAAGTAAAGGCTGGTGGTCATTGTGTCGGCCATAGATACAGATGATCTTTATATCATCTTTCCTAGATAGCTAGGTCTGAAAGGGAAACTATGCTTTTTACTCAATGTATATTTCACACTGTCACAGTAAAGTGGTAGGCTATTTGCTTCACAGATATCAAATACTGTGTATATCGATATAAAATAAATGAATAATAAAATAATTATATCAATGAAAGGAGATCTGCTCTAAACTTTCATTGTTCAATTCTAACATTTACTTGTGACAGTGGTTCTCAAACTTGGGTCCGCAAGGTGACCCTCAGGTTCGAAAAAAGTTGAAAATTGTATACAATTAAAATAATTTCTTCTCTATAAGCCAGTTTATCCAATTGGATGATTTGAATAATAATCAACTCACCTCTCACTACTGTTTAATATGTTTAAACCAAAAATTTGTAGACATTCTTCATTTGGATATTCTTGACTGGGTGTTGAGCCCTTTTGCACGCAGACATTCAGATCCAAATAACAGAAGAATCCATTCTAATAGAGAAGCAGGTTATTGAAATATCCAAAACTGAGGAACTTAAAACACAAATTCTGATTTCAAAAACAAGATTCCAATTTTATATCTTGCATTATAGGTTATTGTACAGAAGTTGTTGAATGCTTTCCTATCTTATTTGGTAGAACATGGATTCAGTGCTGTAATGAATCTCAAAAAATTTAAGATACTGATTAGAAACTTGTGCTTGTAGCAACAGCACTTACAAACATTGAGCCAGACATAAATGCCCTGATAAAAAATCTCATCCCATTTATCCCAAGTCATTAAACAAAAGTTGTAATTTTATTAAACACTCCTTCAACAAAATGTTTGATTTTTACATTTGTAATTTATTTACTATGCATTTATGTACCTTTTTCACTTGTGGGCAAATTTTGACTAAACAACGGGTTCCTCAGATCAAAAACGTTTAAGAACTTAATGACACACATTCAGCTTAGAATTAACAAAAAAAATTTTCCCACATGGTGGCTATTAAGTTTCTGTGATATTCATGTACATTTCTTTTACAACTTTCACATTAGATATGTTACTGATTTTGTTTGTTTGTTACCAATTTCTTTTGCATGTAAATTAGGTAAAGTATGTATATGCTATGAATCCAATTTAAAATAACTTACATATGGTACAATCTATTTCATTTTGAATTTTATGGATTATATTGAAAAATAATAATGTCACTTCTAAATGAAATAGCTGTTACTGTAATTCAAAATGTAATTTATACTAGAACATCCTTATGAGTGGTGATATTTTATTTAAATATATTGTTGAAAATATAACCTAGTAGTTGATTCATAACTACAAACTGCATTGTTATGTTGTTCTGTTACTTCACCAAGCTGAGATGTTAAAAGACTGTCTTTCACTTTGTTTTCTTTGAATATAATATTGAGATTTATATATCTAATAGTATTTTACACCCTTACTTTTATATGGCGCTTTAATTTGAATAAGTTGTTTTTCTTTTACAAACTTAGACTTCTTATATTTGTATGCAATGTGCAGCAATAATAAAATACATAATTGTAGAGCTTTTCTTTTTCTTAAGTCTGGGATGTATGAATGAGTGGCATAAACTGCTTGGCTGCTTATCAAAGGAGCTGGAGTTCAAATTCTGATTCCAGCAATTATTTCAGTGCCTATTTCTCCCCAACAGGTCCCCCAAAAAACTTTGGAGCCTACTGAGCATGCTACTGAAAGGCTCTATAAAAAATCATTTAGTTTTAAATATATTATCAAGGGTGAATATAGATTTTAGTTAAGGAGCCACTCAAAACTCCATGTGCCTACTGTGTAGTCCTACATGGAATATGGTGGATAGTTAATCTAATGGCAGTTGATCACACAAATAATCTTTTTTTTTTTTTAATTTGGTTTACCACAAGCATATCAATAGCTGTTGTTTATTACAAAGCTTGTATCAGCTCACTCTGGCCAAAAGTTTGTCCAAAATTTTTCCCACACCTTCTCAGATCAAATTGAAAATTTTGCACATTTAATAATAATTTTATTTATAAAGCGCTGGCCATATTATTTCTTGTTATTTGACAAAACAAGAATTAACCAATTTAGAGGTATCCAAAAAAAAAAAGTAAATGTGTATTCCCAGACCTTGAAATGTGTATTTTGAGGGCAAATGTGTATTTTCCTAATATAATAAGAAATATATTCAGGAAAGACTGAAATCATTCAAGCACGTAACATATATGAAATGCAGCAATCCTAAAAATTAACACAGCATAGAGTTATATAAGACATTTTGTACATTTATCAAAATATTTACACTTTAAAACTTTTCTAGAATATGTTAGAATGAGTTCTTGTCACTTGGCAATGATTTTATGATAATAATGCCTGATTCTGGCATTCTGCAATAGCACCAAGAGAATATTTTTTTAAAGAATGGGAATTTTTGTTAGAAGTGAAATAAGACTTAAATAAGATAAAATGGTTTGCACCTAATTTTAATAAAGTAGTATTATGTATTAGCTATTTCTTTACAAGGTATGCAGACTTTGGAAAAATTAAATCCCATTTTCAAAGAGTTTAGATTTTCTTTCAGACCATTCTTTGCAGAGTGAAAGCTTTGGCATCTTCTACAATGACTTATGACAAAAATTGTAGATTTTTTTCAGACATAACCCTGGCTGTTGTAGGATAGTTATTTATTCTGAGGCATGAATTTGTTTTATAAAATAAACAGGAGGGCTCAAAGAATCAAGAATTTAATGCTTTTCTTTTGCCAACACACTCAATCTAGAATGTCCCTGATTTCATTCTTTGAATTTAGGTTAACTTTTTTTTTTTTTTTTTGGCTTTTGCGGGGGAAATGTACATTTGTAGATGATAAACCATACTATATTTACATGTCCATTTGTGTACAAAATACACAAGATATGTACTTGTAAGCAACTCTGTCAATTAGTTAATTGGCTATAGGTAATTAATTATTTTGTTTGGTATGAAAAAAGGGAAAGAAATTGTACTGACTGATGATATAAGTTGAATTAGTCCCCTTTATAGTGTAGAGTTAGGCCATTTGAAACTAATAATAGATAACTAAAAATCATTTTTTTCATTAGCACTTCATTGGCACAGTGGTTAGTGTATTGGCTCAAGTTCAAATTTAATTTTTTTTTTTTTCATTTAAAATTGATCACAGTAACATTCACCCAGATACCATGGCCTTCCCCACCCCCACCCCTTTTCTCAACAGACCCTGAGAAAGCTAAGCATGAAATTGTGCTAAACAAAAAAATTGGTAAAAATATTTCGAATTGCACAGATTTATTATTTATGTTTTGTTTTACATGTTTCGGATGTTCCTTCAGAGTTGAAGATAATTACTTCCTAGTCCAAACCTCCTGCAGGACGACGCGGGATGGGAGCGGGCAGGGTTTGAACCCGGGACCACCGATAAATCTGAAAAACAGTTCAGCGTGCAAACCGCACGACCAGGCAGCCATCCACTATTGCCTACATCTATTACAAATTTAATTACATGACTGATCCAAACTATTTGATACAATTATGCTTAATATAAGCTGTTGTTTTTTTTTTAAAGTATTTTTTATATTTTTCTTGTTTTTAATTTTATCTTGGCACAAACTATCTGCATGACATGAACCTTTGCCTTTCACATTACTATAATTCATCAAGGCAGAAAAGATTCAGAATTTGTGCTGTGAACATTTAGTCTGGTATTGTAAATAAAAATAAAACTTCAACTCAACATATCTACTGGTAAGACAGAGAAACTTAATGGCAAAAGTTAAATGTTTGATAGAATGATAAGTACATGTACAGGACTACTTTGTTGACAGTCATAAATGGTAACAGACAAAAGACATCAAATTTGCTGTGTACATGAAACCAAAAAAAAAAAAGTTATATAAATGTATGCAGGCTTATGTTGCACACAACACGTACATGTGTATTGGCTGTGCACCAGAATGATTCAAACAAATAAATGCAGAGAAACATAACTGGGCTGGGGGGGAGAACAGGGGGCTTGGCAAAAAACATTTCTAAAAGCTGACATTAAAAGCTGCAATTTGACACTTGTAACATTTATCATCAACAGAGCAGTCAAGTTGGTTACAAACAAAAAGACATTTTTTTTTGCTTTAGTGGAAATACACAGCTAAAAAGAGACCTGTCGAGACAGTATTATTGCTCTCAAGAACTAGAGAAATATCCCTTGTTAACTTTGAAAATAAATATTGTTTATGTTTGTTAATACTATTTTCTAGTCAACGTTATCCTGACAAAAATATTTTATATTCACAAATACAGTTACCAGTAAGTACTTGAATGCAATACATGTATATAAAAAATTAAATGTAGTCATTCTTTTGTAATTTTGATGCAGATTGTAATATTTTGATATGGGAATTCTAGTCATCTTACAAGCAACACAAATTGTACACAAAATATCAGCCAATAAGAAGATAGATACATAGTATTTAACAAACATCAACAGATTTGAAAATAAAGTAAAAGTTTTTTGTTTTCTCTTTTGTTTTATCCTTGTAAAAAAAAATAGCGTCAATATATTTCTAGAAATAATTCCTCCTTTCCCAACATGATTCAATCATTAGAACAATTAGTTCAAAAGGTGAAAATTGTAATCTATATAAAAAAACATTACTTTTTAAAAAAAAACAATGCAATTAGTCTAACAGTCTACCATGGGAACACATGAATTAAAAATTAATAATCTGTATAAAAGAAATAAGACATGCTTATATAAATTAAGATGAACTAGGTTGATATTTCCATAAATCAGTTTTAGCTTAGGAAATATCCTTTCAGTATTTTTTTTTTTAAATAAGAGTACAAAGTTCAGATGTCTTCAAATAAAAAAAAAATCACAACCTTCAGTAGAGGTTAAAAATAATAAAAATGTTGAACTTTAAGAAAGCAAATACTTGCATTTAGGATGAAATTTAAGACATGCATTCAATACAGACAGAATTAAATGATATAAGCACTGCTGATGTTAGCATGTACTGGTTTAAATTTTAGATAGGACTAGAAAATCATTAAATAGCGAGAAATAATTTAGAAAGAAAAAAAAAAGCGTTTTTTTTTTTTACCCTGAGAACATCATTGCTACTAATTTGTCAGACTAATCATTACAGCATTATTATTTGGATAAGACTGACAAAGGAAAAAAAAATGGCCACAGCTAACCAGGTGAAGTCCATGTGGATCTCAGAATATTCAATTTGTAGCTTAACCTGAGAGATAATGTTCATGAGAATATAAGGTCTATTAGGGCCCACTGAAGTTCACAATGTATGATTCAGTTCAAGCACAAAGAGAACTAAAATGCACTTTTTATTTTAATGATGGCATAAGCAGAGTCTT